GAAAATCTTCACCACCGTGTCACCGTAGCTCGCGACGACGTTGTGTAATGCGACACGCGAAACGATTTCTCCGAGACCCGAGAACGAATACGAATCGAGGAATCATTCGTCGCGCGATTGTAGCGCGTCTCGTCGCGCTATGAAGAGAAAATCCTGGGCGTGTTCGTCCCGTGGAGTTAACGGAGTTTGCCCGTCGGCTTTTTGGGCCAAACGTCGGAGTTGGCTTGTCCAAAACTTTTCGACAGTGTTGTGTCGTTTAGACAGGTAGTAGGGGGCAGAGGAAAGGAGATTATTTGATCCTAACCATTAGACCGTTGCTGTGCTTGTTTGCCCAAGTGAATGTGGAACAATCAATGTGAGAGCTTCCTGTTCACCGATGTCTGCACTGCCGCCTATTAGCGCTCTCATCGCCGCTCGAACTGCTTTATTTTCCGTCCCGGTCGTCCCGCGCGCGGCTTGTTCCGTATCGTGCATCTTACGTGTTCCCGCATCACTCTCGCAATTTTCAATTTTAAGACTTTTTAAGCCACACAGAACAACGTAAGCAGTAAGACTTAAACAGTAAGCAAATTGTCCAACACCCCAGTGGATTCTACTTCTTACAGTTCACGAATAATTGATTGTGATTGGTTAACTTTCTTATTGCTTAAGTCTTACTGCTTACGTTTTTCTGTGTGCCATTCGCTTGACGTCGTAGCGTCGGTGCATTTCTCTTTTACGGATGTTGGGGCTTCCGCAAAAGAATGTTCGTAACGCTTTAAGTTGCATGAAGTGCTGATCGTAAATTGAGGTCTGTACGCAATAGTAAATTTAGGTCAGCGCATAAAAAGATTCGTTACGTGACAAAAACGTGATTTTGTGTAATCAAACAAATTATATGAGAGAGATAAGTATATAGAATATTTTATAATAAAATATTTTTTTTTAATAGAAATATTTAGCTTGTTAAATCAATATCTTATAAAAAATTTTATTAATTTCTCTATAATCTTTTATTTGTTCGTTTAGTTGTTGCAACAACTAAATTTAAACAATGTCATAATATAGAAAAAATAATAAAAATTTTAATAAGATATTAATTTAACAAGTATTTATACTAATCTTTTTTTTATTATAAAATATTTGATATATTTGCATTATGATATGATAATGTGCTTAACGTAAAATCATGTTTTTGTCACGTTACAATTTCTGTATAGACTATACTTTACGGTCAGTATTTCACGCAACTCAAAGGACATTCTTGTGCGGAGGCTCTTATTTTATCGAACGCAAGCCGTAACTAAATTTCAATATGTACACATAGAAATTTATCCCATGATCCTGACCAGGCTGACCCCAATCGGTTATCTGGTTTGTGCAAGGTGTTATTGGGTTCTAATTATATTATCCTATATTAGGACTTATCCTATATAAGGTCCTAGTTAATAATAATCTTTATTAGTGATAAAGCCCTGATTGCTGTGTTATATAATTTATCAGTATCCGATAACAAAAATATGGGGCTGCTATAACACATTACTGATCAGTAAAGTGCAAAAATAGACAACAGGCCTTCTTATTTTCGCGATTTGTTGTTATTAACGTTAAAGTGGACGATGACGGAGCACAGCCGGTGTCTACGAGGACTGCGACTCCTACCTCATCCCGGGAGAGTAAATAAAGGGCAATTTACGAGACAGAAACGTTACTGCTCTCTGCAACGTATTTACACAGCTACTATTATTAAACGTAATTCTATTTCAGACAAGAGATTTAACTCTCCCGTGCGGAATATATTTAGATTTCGTCTTATTTTTCTTTACGCGTCTTATCGTTTAAGAGATTTCTATTAGCAAATAAATACGTAATTACACTATATTCCAATATAATTAGTCATTCGTATGATATATATATATATATATATATATATATATATATATATATATATATATATATATATATTTCATTCGTGCAAGTGAATTTCTGTTGCTTGGGGATCAAATAAAACCACGTTTTGTAAGAATACGAAGTACATTCTATAGAAAGTTTCTATAAGACGGAATAAAAAGTAGTTAGAAACAAGAAAAAATTCGTTGATTCAATCAAACGTCGATGTCACGAAGTATCATAAATATCTGCAGTTAAGGGGATGCTGAAGCTGAAAACTTTATCGACAGAATATTGACATTTTTCTGTAAAGTTTACGTCGTATTGGTTGTATAGAATTCCAAATGCTTTTACGCAATGAAAGCGCAAAAATAAATATAAGAGCATTGCGCAATATGTGACGGAAACGAGAAAGAAATTTTAAATGCAAAACCTCGAGTTGTCAGTTAGCGTAATATTTGCCTAATCCAAAAGTTCTGCAGCTTGTACACAAAAAGTGTGGATGCTCGAAAGTGTAGATGTTCCAAACAGAAAAATTTTGTAGAACATTGCTGTACCTTCGCATCTGAATTCAGAAGCTTAAGAATATCGGGAAAGTTTGCAGGAAGATTTCTATATATATATATATATGTTAGGTTTTCTACTGAATATGGTAAGACAAAGCAATACACATTTACGTAAGTTCTGTATGTACAAGAAATACAGAAAGGGTAGGGTGATTGTTTTAATGACGACGTTTTTGCGTTATCGACATTGTTCGAATTCGCCATCGGTTTCAGTATTTCCTTAATTCAACTTTATTTATCACTGATTTCAATTGTAACATTTGTATAAAAGAGTTCTGGTCTTTTAATACTGATTTTGATTTAATAACATATATGTTACATCATGTAGCGTATGAACACGTTAACAATAATACGTAACAATAATTAATAAACAATTAATAAACAATGTTTATATAAACATAAACATAATAAAATAAGTCAACAAAACAATGCATTAATATTAACCCATATCAAAACTAGCTGCGTTGTTGAGATATGTTAATTAATTCGCGTAGTATAAATGACAGTAGATTTTATGAAATCTACTGTATTAATTCAATGGTATACTAACAAATTATTAACTTTGTATATAATTGAAATAAACAGGTATCTGGTTGAAGTAAATAATTATACGACTGACTCAGTTCTCTCAAAACTGCTATACCGTTGAAGCATAGATTAAAGTGATTAAAACAATAGTATGTTGTATTCCTTTCAACAATATCGCCATTGAATCGAGAAAATTATTTCCAATCATACTGGTGCTGTTGAGTCAACAACTGTTTCTTCGTGTGCCCATTCAATTGCTCTCAATTATCTCAATCAAGTTTTAATGCAGCCGAATATACAGACGAATGTTATTGGTGGCGATACTGGAGACATCGTTTCTCATCATTGAATCTTCGTCTCTGGTCACCATCCAGTCTTCATTCTTCTAATATATCTTCTAATTCCATGGTAAACGAAACTAACAAGTAACTGCAGCGAGATGAGCAATCGTAAATGGGCCGAAAGAAGACCCTGTTGTAAGCAATTAAGGAATTGGAGCCGTTCGGCTAGGTCTGTCAGCGGCTCTCCTATTGCACGCATCCTTCGCATCCACTCCGCTAAGCTGAGCGAGTCCAATCGATTTTTTCCGAATTCAATTAGACGCGACGTATCGCAGACGTGGATCGTCGCAGTGCAGAGTGGCCCATGTCCCGATTCTCTGCTTCGAGTAATACCTCGCGATATCCACGCACCGTGAAAACCGTTCATACCGTGAAGAAACGCGGCCCAAAAATCGCCCTCCGCGAGATTGCATTAATTCCGCGCACGACACGTAACCCTAGCAATAAAGTGGCGTAATTGCCAGTAGAGCCCGTGCCCTTTGGGCATCGAGTAGGAGAAAGCCCCGCCGGCATCGCGGGGCGCGGAAAGTACGCGGGGGGTGCCGATGTTACGGAGGGGCCGAGGGATTGTCGATGTACAAATCTACCCCGATGTATCCCGCGCGCGGGCGGACAGTGGGTCGACTTATGCGAGCCACGTGCACAATTCTAATTTGCTTACGAGGTACGGGCTTAAAGCACAATGCGTCACGAGTACCAGGAATACGTGCGTCGGTCGGCTGCACGGACAATGCGCAATGCGCCCTACACTTTCGCCCTTCCCCCTTTCCTCCGCATTGTTTCTCGAGTTCGCAAGTCCAATGATATCGTCATAGTTTTGTCATCTACGTCCGCACGATTGCGGTTCGCGCTGGTTAGCGAGACTAAGCGCGAGAAGCACGAGGAAGGACGACTTACTCGCAATTTCGATCCCCTCGGCCGCCCTCGGTGCGGGCCTATCGTGCCTTGTCATCTTTCATGGTGTCGCTTTCAGGAAGTTTGTAAGTTTATTGGAAGTTGAGAACTTTCAATAAGGTCTACATTTCTTCCCCTTCTTTCCTATGAATACAATAATAAATAACGTGCCTAGATAGACGCATGTAAATTTGGCAGCAATTTTACTAATCGGTTTGTTAGGATAGCGTCCCTGATAAGTGGATCACATAGCACTGATATTTATCACATAGGATAATTAAAATGGAAATACAAGACAAATATGAAGAAAATTATCAAAATGTGCTGAAAACAATATGTCATACAAAATGTAATATGAAATTCTGAGTTAAACTTTTAGTAAATTTGTAGCTGTAGGAATATAATAAAAATTTTACTTGTTAGTAGTTTACAAGTATTCTTTATCTGCATGGAGGAATGAAGTGAGACATGCATGCGGTTTGGAACTTGATCTCACTGTCATTGCTAGTAAACTCTGACAGGTGAATGACGGAGTTCGATGACTGCTCTACTTTTCCACCCTTGTTTATTTTATAAGGAGAACCTTGGAAAAGACTGTGATATCGAATGATTTTGCTTTTAAATTCTGATAAAATATGTTTGCAGTACTGTAATAATTGTTTGCGGTTTATACACGATAATTCGTAAATTAGTACCACAATTCGGCCTGCAGAGTCAAATTAATTAAATGCTATTAAGTGTATCATCATATGGACGAAAAGAAAAAATGATATTTGTTCAAGTGGTCACGCTTTTTATCTTTGTACGTGACAGGTAGTCGATCAATTGTGCATATTTACCGTCGGTAGTCTCACCACGACTGTTTTGTCGTCGTAGCGTGTACCGCAGATGTTTCGTCAATTAATGCTACCTATAGAGTCAATTAATTAAAAGTTATCCGGTGTATCGTAGAGAAGAAATCATGTTTGTTCAAATGGTCGCGTTTTTTTCGTTCTAGACGTCGAATATTGACAATCTGCAGTTTATCTGCATATTTACCTTTACCGTAGATGATCTCACCACGATTACTTCGTCGTAGCACGTACCCCCGCTTTCAAGCAGCTAGACTATAAATTCAGTTGCTGTAAAGCGCCGACGACACAAGTCAACGAAGACGACGACGACGATGATAATAAACGCATACAGTTGGACGGTCTTCACGGTCGTTCTTTCGACAGTACTACTCAACACATCGTCATACGCGGAAAACGCGAAAGAGGACGAATACAAAGTCGTGAAGCGAATAGACGATAATGGAGTGTCACATCTATGTGTCTTGTTGGCTAAAAATATCGCTGTTGTTGCAGTCAACAGGAAGATACCAGCACCGAAACATCTACCTCAACGACGACGGCATCTCCCCTTTGTCCTAGCGATACAAGTGGCAAGATCTGGCTGATCAGACACGAAACGAATTGCCAAGCGTACTATCGTTGTCGCAAGGTCCTGCGTCGATGTAAGGATGGAGAATTGTTCAACGACGACATCAGTTTGTGCGATTTACCCATCAATGTGGACTGCGGGGATCGCATCGTGTCGCATCAGGCGAGAGAACCACCATTCATTGCTGAAGGCGTCATACCGTAATCGATTGCATAACGACTCAATGCCGTAACGGGTACGTATGAGTTTATCGAATCGCGAACAGATGCGAATGGAAGAAGTGGCAATTCGACGAGTATTCGCCGATTGTTTATTCGCCGCGGTAGAGAAATTCGCATAAAAGTCGTCTATGGTTCTTCGGTGAAGCTAAGTATCTGTTCAATTGCATCGGTTTCGCCACGTCACGTTTGTACCGCGCGTAATCACCCGGAACCACTGTGAGTTCGGCGATTGTCGTCTCGGATCTGAACGCACGGTGTCGTCAAAAAAGGACCCCGCACAAACCTTATGGAAATTGAATTTCGGTCGAATTGGCTGAAGATTTGATATGTTGTAGACCTTGTCGTCCTGATAAAGTCTCCACAGGTACGATCCCCCTACAATGAACCGTTTGACCTCTACGAGGCGTCATTTTTCAAAACAGGCTAATACAGTATGTTTGATAAGAGCGTGTACGGCAAAACTTTTTCCTCGAAACCGTTAGAGGGGGGATATGAACGCGAGCCAATAGCGGGGCTCTTCTCCCAAGATGCTTTGTCTAGAAAGGCTTAGTTATCGTTTGACTTTCGTCACAAAAGGGCGTATTTCAACATGAGTGCCGCGTACGCATCACATTACGAAGCTGTGTTTCTATGTTCGCATCCAAAAGGACCAAAAATGTCGCGCGGAGCGGCTGCTAAGTATATGAAGAAGTCTAAGGCGTTTGTGAGTAAGTGAGTGAAACGTTATTCCAAGGTCAAAAACGTTGATGACTTGCCGGATCGTGGCTCTGTGCAGAAAACGACGAAAAAGGAGGACAAAATGATTTTACGGGTGTTTGAGAAGAATCCTTGTTTATCATTGCGTGGCGGG